CATTGAAATCTCCACAAATAATTATTTCCGAGTCTTCATGCGAATATTCAGTATTATTGGCCTTGAATAAATAATCATTCAAGGCGTCATTAGGGGGCAATACACCGAAACAAAAACTATGTTTCTATTATTAATAATCATTTTGATTGCCACTATATTCAAAGAAGCATACAAAAGCATTTCTGCAGAGCTGTCAAACAGAACGATTGCCGCTCGTGGATAATTTTTGTCACAAAAAGTTCGAAATTTCTTTGAGATTCCCCCACAACTCATTATTGTCTTTTATTACAACTGTTATTATCTTTTATCCAACTTTATTATCCATTACATAAGGTTCTTGAATCAAGGCTATTTTATAGCCTCTTTCAATAGCTTTAATATATAATTGATTTACAGCAGCTTTGGTGTGATGTAAATTTATTTGAACCATTTTACAGTCTTCGTCACTTCTACTAACCATAATTAGTACGACTGATTAAAAGATCCATTTGTCGTTTGTGACAATGACAATTTTTATATAAGCTAGAATGATCAATGCTAAGCTTAAATTTATACTTTTCATTTGCCTCTTTGCAATTAATACATTTTGGAGTAGCTTTACACTCCCAATGTTTATGGCCAACTTCACCACACTTAGCACATATTTGCAGTTCTAGGCATTTTGTTTGAAAGTGCGCATACTTTGAACATTTGAAACACTGAATTACTTTCAAAAATTCTTTAATTCTAAGACAAGACCATCTTATGTTAAGTTTTCCTGCTTTTATAAGTTCTCTATATTTCTTAGCATCTACGGTGGCCACCCAATGTCCTTTTGGTATTTCTACCTTTTATCAAAAATTTTAAGTCAAAACCACGATTTTCAAAGACCATATTTTATAATGGTTCATCTTCTTAAGTTCATCTCGAGAGAGATCAGAATAAACATCATAAATAATAATTTTTGGATCTTTCTTTACAGGACGTTGAATTACAATATTGTTTCTAAATAAATCATTTCTTTTAACCTCTGTTTCTAAGGCTTCAATGTCAGAGGTCTTTCTATTAGAACACCTCCTTTATTAATTTTTTTTTTAGTCTTCTAACACCAATGTGTAATTGGGTGGGATTAATTGAGTTTACAATTTTGTTTTTTGAAATTTGTAAAGACATTATCCAATCAGTACCCCTTTTAAAATAGTGGAATAATGTAGAAATCAAACATGCTTACAGTTTGATGATCATTTCAGACCTTTTATATCATAGAAATAGTAATCCAAAAATTGAAGCCAAAGCATGATGAGCCACGTAAGCACACAAAAATGCAAACATCCATAAGTTCGTCAAATAGTCTCAGAAACATAAAGTGTGATATAATATCACAACTGGAACACAATTAGCTTCAAAATATCACAAAATAAAATGCTATAAAACGGCATTTACCGGAAAAAATGGCGTATTTTCAGGAGCCGAAGAAAGCACAAACTAATATGGTGTGAGCATGTGCAGTTCGTCGCCTTTATTCATACATATACATATGTAATGTACATACATATATATGTGTGTGTGTAGACCTCTATGTATGTATGTGTGTATGCACACACACACACATACATACATGAATGCATATATCGTACATATATATTTTTTTTATTTGTGCTCTTATTTTATTATTACCATGTTGGGATGTACTATTTGAATTTGCTTTGAATATACATATATACACACATGGCACACATATGTATACATATTCTATAAAAACATCAATAAATATTTGTGATGTGAATTTAAATTATTTTTATTTTTTATTGTGCTGTTATTTTCATTATTTTTTTAATTAATATTGAGTTTCTGTAATCTGAATGACAGATTTGGGCTCTGAATGCCACTTTACTGCCCTATAAATGTGTCCTGTTAGTCTTCTTAACAAATATTACAGATGTTCCTCCAAGCTTTATTGTTATTATAAAAATATATGAGATTGAGTATTTTAAGAATGTTTGCAATGTACTTACTTTATTATATACAGTCAAAAGTCATTAATTCGGACATCATATTCCGGACCTCAAAGCTTGCGCATGTGTCACATGCCGCAGAAGACCTTTGAGGCTGCGAGTGTGCGCGTGCGCAAAATACGTTTACGAATGCGCGTTTAATGTATAATGGACGGTATAAGCTAAGCTAAAATTATTTAATTCAGTTAATGTTGCAGATTGCGTTGTTCCTTAATCTTCGAATTGGATTCGGCTTATTATTTTTTTGCAGACTGTTAGAGCGATTTTATAAAAGTAAGTTTGAACTTTCGATTATGTCAAATAGAATTTCTGTTATATATTTGCTAATATGTAAAGGATCTAAAAAGCGAAAGTATGTTTCGAAGTCCATTAAACAAAAAGTGGAATTGCTGCGAAAAATGGATAAAGGCATATCCTTTGTTTATCTAAACTTTGTTTATCTTTAACGTGGTGGCACGCAATGAATTGGAAGTTGATCTGTCAGCACTATCCTTATCTTCAGGGCAGTTGTTTTTATTTTATTTGGCTTATAATTCCCTGCTAAATGTAGTATTTCATCTCGATGTACTCCGTCTTTGATATGATTTAAATCAAATTGCTCATCATTATAATTCACTTCCGATAGCGAAGAAAATTGAAAACGAAAAAATTTCGATTGACAAATTAGTTGGTATTCTCGACACAGCAATTATAGGACTTGAACAGCGGAACTTTGTAACTGAACAAGAAATTATGTTTGTTTATAGAATTAAAGAGAAAGTATTATCACATAAAAAACGAAGCAACTTAAACAACTTACATTAAAAGAAATGTTTAATAAAGTAAACAAATAAATATTAAGTTTTTTTTACTTCCTTGTATGAAGTAAAAAGGAAGTATTGTAATCGTTAAAAGTTCCAGGCAGCATATTTCAACGAAAATATCCATGTATGTATGCATATCATTGCATACATGCATTGTGATGACTGAAATTAAATTACAGTTACAAATGTGTTGAAGGAAATATATGTTGTGTGGTTATGATGACACACGTTACGTTCACAACCTTGAAGTGCCTAATTTAAAGAAAGAAACTGTAGTGGGGGCTTTTAATAGGTCTGTATCACGCAGACAACAACACATGTAAATTTTAAATCTCTTTCCTTTAAAAATTATCCTGGAAGCCTTGACAGTTATTAAAATTAGAGTTTCAGTCTGATATTGGCTTAAATTTTATAGAAAATCATTGCTTTTTACTTCCTTGTACGAAGTAAAAAGGAAGTATTGTAATAGCGAAAAGTTTCAGGCAGCATATTTCAACGAAAAATATCCATTTTGACCACCATCGAATGAAATTTAACGATGTTTTTCCATGATATCTGCACATAAGGACAGAATAAAATACTCTTTTCCTTCAAAAAAATTATAAAACTGCTTTAAAATTAATTCTGAAGAGAATTTTTCGTGGCGTCTGTACGAACGTATGTGTGTACGTACGTACGTATCTCGCATAACTCAAAAACGAGTAGCCTCAGAACGTTGAAATTTTGTATATAGGACTGCTATAACATGTAGATGTGCACCTCGTATTTTGGTTGCAATCGCCCGCACCAAATGTATATAAATATATTTATATATATATCCACTCTGTTACCCGGCTCAGTGATCTCAGTTTCTTTACTCTTATATGTTTGTAAATTGTACATTTTTTGCTTTAAAAATGATTGTATTATGTTGTTTTTATCTTCCAGTTAATGTTTTTATGCCTTTAGTAAATCTGTATGCAATATTTTTAGACTTATCAACAATTTTAAAGTTGTCTAAGTGCTGCTAAGCCTTTTTTTTGTGGCACCCATTGATATGATTTGTTGCCAATCTAGAGAAACTTAGCTTCTCAACAACAAAGATAATGCATTCATTTATTATTTCCAATTAAATCATGCTTAATTCTTTCTGGAATTTTTTTTTTGGGGGGGGAAATAAGTGTTTAAGATTTACTTCGTAATTTTTAATATAGATATTTTGAGTTTTTATGTATTTTTGCCTTCTCACGACGTGAAAACTGAATTAATTGAGAAATACTCAGTTGTCTGTGGAAAACTGTTTCTTTTTTGTTTTGTTTGCTTAATTTCTTTTATACATCATTCTAGCTTTATTATAGTATTTGAATAGAACATTGGGGCAACGATTAGATAATTCTATTCTTTAATAATATAAATTTTGTGCATTATGAGTTAAATATGAACGAAATATATAAGTTAACTGTTATATAATTATGGATTATATAACAGTTAACTTATTTTCCATTATATAATATTATATAAGTCAACTGTTATATAATTATTATATAAGTTAACTGTTATATAATTATTAATACTGTTAAGTGAATCTAGCGCCAGAGTTTCGTTATGGTAAACAAATACTAGAGTGATTTTTAAAGAATGCATTTATTCTATTGTGGTTTATGCGCTGTCGGCAAAGTAGATTTAATTCAACCCAATATGTTTAAATGAAATGCAAGAAAAAATGCGTATAATTTAATATTCCGTACAAGGAAGTCATGTGGATTACACATCAGATTTTTTTTGTAAATTTTGATACCCTTTAGATCATAATTGTTCTTTATTTCATAAATTACGGTTTCATATTTTTAATTTTATAATTTCTGAATGCCATCTTACCAGATTTAAACTGATGATCGATAATCTGGAATCGCCGAAGTCCCGACGAGTCTGGATTAACGACTTTTGACTGTATGTGTATGATGCATTTATGCACATAGAAACAGTTGTAAATAAACTTTTTATAGTTCTGCAATTTTAGTGTTATGTATGTAGAGAGTGTTACTTCACTTTAAAAAAGTTTGACTTTATTTAATCTCTCTTCTTTATCTTCTGAGTAATTTTTTTCGCCTTTTTGTGGTCTTAATAATCTACATGTATATTTAAGTATAATTTTTTAGCTTCTAAAATGCATTTTTCAATAGTTTTTAGTGCACTCCAATGTTGTAAAACATGTTATTTTTAGACATTTCATAACCAACAGGCAGCTTTGCAACCTAAGTCTCTCTATTCATCATCTTTACCAGTCCATTCCACAGCTCAAGTATTTAATGGAAGCCATTTAAAACAGATCACTTCACAACCGCAAATTATCACCACTCAGGCTGGTACTATGCTCGGCCAAGCTCAGTTTCTAGGTAATAATTTAATACTTATATGCTGATGGTTAAATCAAAAGATAAAATTTGTATGATCAGAATTTGAGAAATTGTCATAAATTTCTTGTAGGCTCCTTACAAGCTCTAGGCTCTCTGCCACAAGGTATATCCTGGGCCACACCAGGATGCTTGCAATCATCTACTCTTTTAACGCAGAATCCCATAATCATTCGTAGTCAACAGTCAGATATGTTTATACAGTCACCACCACAGACTGCAATGCATTTACCAGTTGCTGCTGCAACTGCACCTGTTCCTCCAACAACTTGCACACCTTTAGCTCCTCAGAAGCCCAAGCAAGTAAGGGTGGGCATAATTTTTGTTACTTATTTGAAAATTACTATTTTAATGTTTTTGTTTGTCATGCTGTTCATTAAATAAAATTTTCTGGTATTTGATATATTTCTTTTCTTCGATAGAATTTTTTTAGAAGGTTTTCATTAAAGACCTCTTTTAATTTCAGAATTATTTGAATAAACTAATTGTAAAATGTTAAAATTGTCTTTTTATATATACATGTGTCTATATATACATGTCTTTTTATATATACATATACTTTTTATACATACATATATATATTATTATAAGTAAGGTTGTAAGAACAAAACTAAAAAGACCAATTTAGGTCAAAATTTTGCACAATGTGCTGCAAAATTAAGGAAATTAGAAGATAAATTTTAGTAAGCTCGCCAAAAAGTTACCAAGAGCTGTGGCTCCAAGAAAACTCCAACATAAACATATTCAGTTGCTATGAAAAGTATGAAAATGGAAAAAATATTTGAATATTTACTTAAATTAATAAGAAAGCTATATGCTAAACATGTTAGGAAATTTTAACGCAGTAAAAAGCAAATCAATTGAATGAGGTAAAATAATAGGCTATATGCTAATTAAAAAGTAAATTATAAAACACGGTAAAATACTAATTGATTGAACAAGGTAAAATGCAAAATATATTAAAATTAAGAAGCGGAAAATGGTTAATTAGCCCAATTCAAAGTTCATTTTGGCTTTTCAAGGGAAATATATATATATATATATATAAGAAATCTTTCTATATACAGTAGACGCTTGTTTTTACGAACCTACGAAAACAGTTCGTTAAATCGAGAGTTCGTAATTTAGAAAAGCATCAGAAATTGTTAGTATTTCACATTTTAATGTTTTCAAACAGGTTAGTGACACTATTCCATGCTTTATTTATGTATTAGGAATTATTTTAATAGTATTACTACTTAATAAATGATATCCATTCTATTAAAAACAAACAAGAAATATAAAATATTTGTAAAACGTACCTTTATTAAGCCCTTGAGCAACAAAATAATCACTTATCTTTGTCTGTTTTAAAACAACAGATTGTACAATGCAAGACTCCATCTTCTCTATATTTGTTAGCATTTCACAATTATCACTGGCCTCAAAAAATCATCCAAGTTCTGACAAGTATTCAGCAGCTTTTTTTAAAGTCGGTCTTGGTGTTACTTCATTTTCTTCTTCTTCTTCTTCTCCTGGATCTGAAAGTCTCTCATTCTCATTGATTATGCTGCTAATAATATCGTGATCCGATATTTCCTCCGTGCAGATGAGATTAGAATCCACATTTAAAAAATCCTCGAATGAAAGTTCTGGCAACTGTGGATTTCTACGGCGAAGTTCATGCATGAGAATCTCATCTTCGTCGTGAGATCTATTGTCATGGATTTCTTCAGTTATGTCTGTTTCTTTAACAAAACCTGCATGTCGAAAGGCTTTAGAAATTGTTTCATCTAAAACATCATTCCATGCACTGATTGATAAATGCATTGCACCAAGAATATCAATCTGATAAAGGTTGTTCCCTTTCCAAGCCAAGGGATTACTCTTTGCAAGAGCACTGTCTTATATTTTCGCTTGAAACTATTGATTATCCCCTGATCCATTGGCTGTAAAACTGCAGTTGCATTTGGTGGGAGATATTCCAGACGGATTGCCTGAAGCCCAGTGACTTCCATGTGTGCAGTACAATTGTCCACGATTAGGAGAACTTTGCGCTTCTCTGCTGAAAAACGGTTATCTAAATCTCTCAACCATTTTTCGTAGATGTTGCCAGTCATCCAGGCCTTATTATTAGCATAATATGCAGCAGGAATCTTCTGAACGTTTTTGGAACACCTTGGTTTCAGATATTTTCCAATAAAGAGCAGAGGCAATTTTTGTGACCCAGTCATGTTGGCTGGCTGCAATCAAAACTGTAAGTCTCTCTTTAGCTTTATTACCTCTAACACATTTATCTCCTTTGTAAGCTAATGTTCTTTCTGGCAAAATCTTAAAAAACAAAGCCATTTCGTCTGCATTAAAAACGTCATCTGCAGCGTATTCAGAAAGAAGCAATTTCAACTTTTCTTCTTTCCATTCATTTGCTGATGACGTGTCTACTGCTACACTTTCAACACAAACTTTCCGGAAACTCAAACCATTCCGAAATTTAAATTTCTGTAACCAACCATCTGATGCTTTAAAATCTGTGATGTTTAATTTGGAAGCAAAAAAGTGTGCTTGTTCTTTAAGTACATTTCCATCAATTGGAATGTTTAAGCTTCTCATCTTTCGAAACCAAACAAGCAAAGCCCTTTCCAAATTTGGGTGTTTTGATTTTCGAGAGGAGGGTCCACATTCATCGTTTCCGTTTTTAGCTCCAAAGATCTTCTCTTTTGCCTTTAAAATCGTCGATAAACTATTTTTAGAAATTCCATATTTCTGAGCAATTTGTGTCTTGCTTAATATTTTTTCGTCAACTTCTTTTAAAATCTTCTTCTTTATTTCAACCGCTAAACAAAAATCGTTTCTTCATTTGCGACATAGCTCTAAGAATCTTACTTAACAAAAACTGGCCCAATCTCCCTCTCGACTAACGGGACTTCACTGATTGAGTTGTCCAGATCAAATGACTATGACATTACAAAAAGCAACAACTCTCTTTTAGAAGCAACCCAAACCCCTTTAACATGAATGGTCTCACCCCCACCCAACAACATCAGGCCGATGCTCTTCTGAGAACCTCCCACAACAAACAACACCATAAATTTGTCCTAATTCCCCCTCTTCTCTGCCCCCTCCTTCCTTACTGTACTTCTTCGAATATTTCGCACTTGCTGCCTCAAAATAGTTGGAGATTTTATTTGACCTTAACACTTCGTCCCAATGAAACACACAGAAGTATGAAAACTGAGTTTGCAAAAAAGAGATTTTCCTGATTTGTAGTTCGTAAATAATAGCACAAAATTACATTACATCTATGGGAGTGTATTAGGGACCATTCGCTAGTTCGTCAAATCAAGAGTGTTCGTAAAAAAGAGGTTCGTAAAAACGAATGTCTACTGTACCATCTCCAAGGAACACAAATTGAATTAAAACCATAAAAGAAAAACTTTTTTAGAAGGTAAAAAGCATATTAAATAGTAATTTCAACTTCTTGTTATAAATCGGCTAAAAAATCCAAAACCAAAAGTAAATTTTAAATATTTAACTAGAAGCTGTTGTCATTGATCGCATATTAATCGACTTATCAAGGGGATAAACCAATCTACTATCAATTAACAACAAGAGAGTGTTCATCTTACTTCCAAGTAAGCATCAAATTATTTGCTAGATTCAAACCATAAGTCACGACTAATACTCAATCCAAATAAAGACAAAGTCCATTTAAGCTATAAGAATCCTGTAAAACAAAATAGCAAGTAACTTTAAAGTTTCTCATTAAGAACACAATTAATTTGTACGAGATGCTTTCTTTAGAAGACATATCCTCTACACTCTCATTGAAAATCAAAAACAGAAGTAAAACAATTAAAAGTTTATTCAAAATCATAAGAAGATAAAAAATGATACAATCTTAAATTAAATTTAAAACAAGTAGTTAATTAGAAATTTAAGGATCAAAATAGTATGTTAAAATTAACAAACTTGTCTTCAAAATTTAAAAACCAAATGGCTGAAAATTCAAGTATTAAGTGATGGAAGTAAAAAGGGTTGTCGTAAAAGTGCAGTTTTCTATTTAAGAAAGTTTTGCCTAAATTGGCGAGAAAATTGAAATTTTTCTTGGAGATAGTAGTAAGATGTTACTAAAATAGTGCTAAAAGCTGCACAAGTAGTGGTTGTACTATAAAGTAAAAATAAAAATAAAACATTTAAACATGCAAGCTTGAAGCAAACCATTCAAAATAGAATTGAGAATTACGGTGACTAATTGCATGAAAAGGTGCAAAAAATGAAAAGGTTATTTATATTGTTCCCCACATTGTTGTCAGAGGATGCAATGAAAGAAGTAAATGAAATGGCCTGTTTCTGAATTGATAATGATACAAATTATAAATTAGAATTTTATATTTCAGTAAATCATAGAAATGTGTGTCTTCATCAGTTCGATCCCATTTGTAGTCGATTATGATATGACATATACTATAGAGATATATAAGTAAATGAATAAATGCAAAGTGAAAAGCAGTTCAAAATCTAATCCAATTGCAAACTGGAAGCAGTGATGAGTGGTGTTGATATGCAGAATAAATTAAAATAAATGGTATGTTTAAAATACATCCCATATTCGATTCAGAATAAAACAAATTTCAAAAAAAAAAAAAAAAAAAGTAGAAGCATATTGGCAGACAGCATGAGAAGGATAAAAAGAGCTGAAACGATAAATGAAAAAATAAATTTACATGTTTTGTGGCATCACCATGCAAAAAAAGGCAAAATGTGGCATCACCAGGCAAAAAAAGTAGAAGCATATTGGCAGACAGCATGAGAAGGATAAAAAGAGCTGAAACGATAAATGAAAAAATAAATTTACATGTTTTGTGGCATCACCATCAGAGTGTTGGAACAACAAAAGAACTAAAATAATTAACCTTTTTCTGAACCAACAGAGACAAATTAAAGTTTAATACTTAATGTCAGAAAATCGGCCAATGTTATTTGTGTCTTAGTCCAACCCCTATATGTTATAGTTAGTAGTGCAAAAACATTTTGTCAAATAATGGCATCAAAAAAGTTTCAAAATATTTATTTTCATAAGAACATGTCCAAAAAATAAAAACATGTAAATACAAGCAATCTATTTACATGAGAAAATAAAAACATGGGAAGACTTTGAAACCATACAGGCCATAGTTAAAAAAAATTATAGCATCATAAACAAAAAGCTTAAAAATAGAATAATTATTTTCAATTTGATTGGACGAAGTTCAGAAAACAAAAACATGTAAAACAGGAGAAATATAACATATAAAAACAAATAATGAATGGAAGTTTGATCTAAA